AGTTACATCAGTCCCAGCTCAAATGGCCGTTTTTTGTTAGCATGACGAATTACTTGATGGCTGGCACACCGCTACACTGACCTTACTTTGAAGCCAATAAAGATGCACTTGTAACAACACCTCTCACTTATAACATTTTGTTTTGCATTCGGTTAGTATTCCGATTGGAAACAACTCTCGAATGATAAGTAAATGAAGAATATTAAGAAAGCTTCAATGCATTTTTCTTGTTTTCTTTTAAAATCATGAGTTATATATAATAAACCAAGTTTTTTTCAAGAGTTCACTTATGAAGACAAAACAGTTCACGGCAATTGCCATAAGAATTTACCATTTATAATTATAAAGAGTTAAGGTGAGTTAAAAAGTCGTTTACTGATTATACCTTTTGTTTAGAAATTCAAAAGTGGAACGTAAGGCGATAGAGGACACAGTCGTTATTTCATCGATTTGTTTCTGTTCCCCGGTAAACTCAATATTACCGGTTTGAGGTCGATCTGAGGAGAGATTTAAAGTTTTATAATTTCGACAAATGTTTTAATTTTATTTATTAGTAAAAAATATTTTTCCGTGTCAATAGCAGGCACCTGATTTTAAATAAATTAAAAATGCGAGATTTAACACCACCAGAGATTATTAGGGCAGATGTCAAATGCATGACTATACCCGCAGATCTATTGCCGCCAGACAGTAGCAATTAATTTCAACGATTCATCGCAATATTCGACATTATCGATTGACTGAATGACTTGTGAGGAAAAGAGCCAAGGTAGAAAAAATTCCAATTCGAGGGGTGACCGTTCTACAACTTCTAGTTCGCAGGAACAATCGGATCGAATCGGCTATGCGGTCCCGAAAAGAGCTCGAAGTCGTGTGAGGAGTGCGACTGAGGGAGCGCACAGTTCGCAGGAGATTTTAAGAAATGGGCATAGGCTCTCATCGTATGTACCGGCCAAAGCTCCAAAACTTAAGACTTGATTTATCAATGGGGGCTGCTATTTTTCCCTTATGAGTGTAGAGTGCCTATAAAACGGATCGATGGATACATTCAGACTAATTTAAAAAATACGGTGGCATATGAGGGGTTTTTTTATGTGAAAAGTTGGCAAGCGAGTAGGTGGATTACCTGATATTAAGTGAATACCACCGCCCGTGGACATCTGCTACACCGAAGGGTTTGCTGATGCGTTGACAAACTTTTTCAAATTGGTCTCCGGTTACCTCACTCACTAGATGAAACGCGAAAGTATTATACTTCCACTTTACGCCGGTCTTCTGTGAGATCGTGGTACTTACCCGGACCAGCCTGCCCCTTTGTGCAACAGCCAAGGCTGCTGCGGCCCTACAACCGTTTGGCTCAGTTTTTTCAACTTTCGGAGATCGTACGGAATTAGTGACGGTCGATGGAGGTATAATGACTGCTAATAGGTACATCAGGGATATTTTAGATGAATGAAAAAATTAATAATGAATATGGAAAATAATGATGACGGCTTTATCCTGATGCAGTATAATGCTCGGGCTTACATCACTCGCTCAGTCCAGGCATATCTAAACCATGCGGGTATAAGAGTGATATAGTGGCCGGCTAGATACTCGGATATGAATCGTATAGAGCATAGATGTGTTTGATGTATAGAGCATGGGACTTGTTAAAGAAAAGTGTTAAACCCGAATAACACCTCCCAACAAGTTTAGAGAACTGCAAAACGAATAGTTGAACAGTGGCAGAGATAAGAGACGCTTGATACAATAGATAACACAATTCGCAGCAGCCCAGAGGGATCGATACGTTAATTAGCACGAAGGAGAAATAGACGTTATTAGTCTTTCATTTATTTATTGTTAAAATCTTAGTATAGTAATATTTCATTTTGATCATTGTTGTTCCCACAAAACAGAAAAAAAGACTGTTTTTCTATTTTGATTGTTTTTTATATAAAAACTTCTTAAAGTGAATGTTAACAAATGTTTATCAGTTTGTTACTTCGTGTCTGATTATTATTTGTTTTAATATACAAGTTATTATTTCTATCCTCTGCCTTTTATTAACGTTCCGCAAATTGTGCATGTGTATATACTCATAATTATTTTGAATATCAAAGCGGATTTTAATATAAAAGTAAAAGTAAAATAAAGAAACAGCCTGTATATGTCCCACCGTTAGGCAAACGCCTCCTCAGTACAGAAGGTATTAGGGAATAGTCCACCACGCGACCCCACTGCGGACTGGCAGATTTCAATATCTTAGAAATATTTTTTTTTCTTATTACTTGATTTTCTTTTAACTTATTATAATATATAATTTATTTTATTTTCAGTCTCTGCACTCAAGATCAAACTTGAAATGTGAATAGATTGTAATAAATCTTACATATTATATAATATTAATAACAATCTATTTCAATCTTATTACTATTTCGCTTTGGCTGTTTTGGCAAAAATTTGCGCTTAATCTATGAATCTTTTTAATAATTTACATATTTGATTTGGACATGATTTTATCGTAACCTGAAATGACTTTTACGAACGACTATGTCTGTTCATATGAAGCCAAGTTGCATTACGAGGTTAGGAGGTACAATAAAGGTTGCCTGGAAGAAATTACTTTGTGTAATAAGATCCCATCCTTCTGCATTATGTTTTTATTTATTTTGTTATTGGTGTGCAATAAAGTGTATTCATTCATTCATTCATTCATTCATTAGGAGCAGAACAAAAATACTAATAAAATTTACGTTTTTATAAATTGTAATATTGTTTATGGGAATAATATATGTAATAATATATAAAATTCTTCAATAATATTGTTACTAATATTATATTGCCATAAGTGGCAGAGTTGGATTCTAACTTACATTCGCTTTATTTACACTTCGGCTTCGGGGTAGCTTGTGCGAAATCGAGATGCTCCTGCTTCTCGATTTCGCACAAGCTACCCCTTGCTATTTACTTCTTGACCTATGATTACTTTCACTATTCCTCTCTATTATCACCACTTTCAACTTTTCGTTTTCTTCACTTTCCACTTTGTGTATCGCCACTAAACTACCTTTTAACGCGTTCCGTGTTCCATGTATAGGGCCGAATTGCGATCAATTTTTAGGGTTCCGTACCCAAAGAGTAAAACGGAAGTCTGTTACTAAGACTCCGCGCTCTTTGTCTGTCCTTCCGTCTGTCGCCAGGTTGTCATCTTCATCTCACAGTCATCTTCATAGATGATGTATTTTCAATTTCGCTGTCATTTGGAAGGAAAAGCCAAGCTGGCTTTTAAAAACTCGGTGTCCTAAACCGAGGCAGTATTTCCTACCTGCACATCGTTTGCAGCTTTATAAAGCATAGATTCGGCAGCACATGGAATACTGTTCTCACCTCTGGGCTGGGGCACCGAAATATCAGCTCCTTCTATTTGACCGCATTCAACGAAGAGCTGCTCGAATCGTCGACGGCCAAACCCTGTCCGATCGCCACGATTGCTTGGCCTTTGCTAAGGGATGTTGCATCCCTTTGTATCTTCTATCGGATATATCATGGGGAGTGCTCTGAACAACTGTCCGGTATTTCCGGACCGATACGATTTAGGGACCTTCAAGAAGAGAGCCTACTCGTACCTTAAAGGCCAGCAACGCAATGAAAATCAAATCAAAATCATGTATTCATCGACATAAGAAACTCACATTTCATCTATCGATAGTCATATATTTTTTTTAATCTTGCACCGTTTCGTAATGAGGTTCATCTGGCGGAGAAGAAACAGGCGAAAGAAACTCCCTAGATATCCTCTTTTTTGTAATTATTTTTTTTTCTTAAAAAAAAAATAAAATATTATACAACTGTTTTTTTTTCCTTTTAGAAATAGCTTGAGAGCGATCAACTCATTCCCAGAGGTTATTGTCACTAATGTATGCAATTGCGACTCAATCGATGTTATAAAGGTCCATGGGCGGCTGTGATCGCTTATCATCAGGTGTACCTGATGGTCGTTTGCCTCCTGTTCCCATAAAAAAAATCTGTTGCCACTATAACAACAAATACTACAAAATGGAATAAAAAATATTTAAGTGAGGCCCTCATACAACACATGTTTCTCGGCGGTTTTTTTTCTTGTTTGTCTTTCAAACTGTAAAAACAAGAGATTAACAATCAAGACTTCAATCTAGTAATATGGTGATCCTTGTTAGTAATGGACCTGTGCGTACATAGAACATAGTAACAGGCGTTACGGGTGTGGGTGTTGACAGCCAGTAAACGGTACGCACAGAATGGAACGTTTGGTTAAATTTATTCTTAATTACTGTAATTTTTCTACATTTATTACATTAGGTTAATATTAAAACGCAATAATACTGAAATTTATTTCGTATTTATTGTATTTAGTACACGGTCGTGTATAACTCAAATTTATATATAAATAATTGAAACTGCAAGAGTACAGGTACACTTAAAAATAAGGCAGTTTTATTATTGACCCTTAAACTTGTCTTAAAAAGACTTCATAGTTTGTGTGTCAAGGAACATCGTAAAGGCATTTTCATGATGCACTTTTTGTGTCAATTGGTTTAAAAGCATATCGAAAGTGCTAAAAGAAGAGATCGAAAGTGTTTAATTAACTTGTGGTTTCTCCTCAACTTATATAATTAAAGATAATTATAGAAATAATAGAATAATTAATTACATTTATAATGATTTTTAAAACATATGGATTTTTATGTTAGTTTAATTATGAATTTTCGCTTCCAACGTGTACTTACTAAATTACTGTGAACATTTCGATACTAAGCCAAGTAACTTTAGTTTTTTGAATAGTCAAAAACACACACGGCATTAAAGCTGCAAGTTCAAGTTTTTTATTTATTTGAAAAGCCTGTGGTGTAGATTCAAAACGAGCTTTTTTCATTTTCGTACGTTCGCTGGATATATAGGAGGGGAGGGTTGTACGAGCCACGCGTGTTGGTTCTGTGTAGTCGATTGCAGAGAGTGTGTCGTGTGCAGTGTCGGCCATGTCACTCCGCGCGCTGAGCTGCCTCGCCACCGCGCTCTGCCTCGCCGGTGAGTGGCGCAAACAACCACCTTTATCTCTATTTGTCTAATCGGATGTTGGTTACCTATTATGGGTAATGGCTAATAACCACAAATTTCATTTCTGAATAACTACTAGTATATTTATGAAAACTTTCCAATTTTCATTGGTTAATCAGTGTAAATTTATGTGTCTCTTGACTCTTGTTTGTTTTAATTGTGTTTATAAGAGCAATTATTGTTGACACGACTGTTGATTTTTAAGTATATTTAATTGCACAAATGATTTCAACGATGCATACATTTGCTACAAATTCATCCAAGATCGAAAATTAGAGTGAGACTTATAATTATTCAATACTTTTATATACAATATAAACATTACTTCATAAAGAGGAAGTCTAAGACAATCAGGAGGCCGGGATCTGATCTTTTTATAACTCTATCCACAATCCTGACCACAATATAATACTTGAACTATGAAACTATTTTTTTCTTACTTCTGTTACAAAATAACTTATCAGTGTTCTATAGTTGTAATTGCATCTACGACAGATGTCCGAATGTAATAAATATAGTTAAAAGTTATTTTGAAAGATTTTATTAGGGCTTTCGCTTTGTATTATTGAAAATCCAATAATATGTTTCATTTAATATTTCATTCAAAGTGAAACCACAATAGAAGTTTGAATGACTTGGCTATATGGGGGAAAACTGGGCTAGTTTCCTAAATTATTACATCATGAAATATACCTAATGATTTAAATAGATAAAATTCATTTGTTATTCGTTTATATATCTCCATTATAAACGAAGAAAGAGCAAACAAACATATGTGAACAGCATTAGTTGTTATTGATGTATGTTTGTAAACTTTTATAATTTTGTAAGTGACCAAACCTACCTAGACCTATTTAGTCTCAAATGCGTAGGTGGTTAGCCTTGTCTCAAATATGTAAGTAGTTTGTGGAAAAATATTTTGCACTTAAGAGAACCCAGTGTGTTTCGTACACTCATTGTTAAACGCCGCTGAAATTCGAACCCGACATCTTATAGCGCAAGTCAACCTCTTCACGAGGCTATTATTGTCCTCAAAGTTGTAAATCATTCAAAATTGAATAGTAAATAATTTTATGTTCCGAAGATACTATTTTTAAGATATGACAGTGAGGCTAGCCCTCCGATTACACGTCGCTTGGCGAGCTATATAGTCCTATGCTCGGTATTTCACTGAGGGATTAAATCCGGAACCAAATTATCCGGCAGAAGACCAAAGTTGTCGATATAGTCCGCAAGCGTAGCAAGCTGAAGTGGCAGTGGGATGGTCACATATGTTGTAGAACCGTTGGAGCAGGCGCGTTCTCGAATGGAGACCACGTCTCGGAAAACGTAATGTCGGACGTCCCCCTGCCAGGTGGACCGATGACCTGAGAAAGGTCGCTGGTAGTGGCTGGATGAGCAAAGCGGACATAGGTCTCTGTCCAGCAGTGTACGGCAAAAAGCTGATTGGATTGGATTGGTAAATACTGTTCTTAATTCTAAATAGTAGTTGATTTGATGTTTTAGTGTTTTCTCCGGTAGGGATAGTCTATGATCTAATTTGATTGAGTTTTATAATTAATATATTCTATTCATTTATTAATTATATAAATAATAATTATTTGATTAATCATTATCATTTCATAATATACAATACGATGGGAGGATAAATATTTTTGCAGCATAACTTGAATTGATCTATTAAAGTAGTTACAGATTATTGCCACATAAACTTTATGAAAATTCTAACCTTTGCAGTCAATTAAACATTGATTATCATAAAATGGTGAGTCTGATAGTGACTGTTGAGAAAAATTGAGACGGATGAATTGTCTCTTATTTTACAATTCCCATGAAATTACTCAGTTCCTTTGGGTAAATACGTAAGATCGAAAACGATTATTTAAGCGACTCCAAAGCGCGGACTAAAAATGGACAAAAAATAACTTAAGCACTCGCTGACCTTCACACTAGCAAAGTTCTGCGATCATTCCTCGAACTGTTCTTAAACAATTATTTGCATATTCATCTACGTCTCCTTTCTAAATGGGCCCAGGAATTATTATTTGGTTATTTGCTTATTTGCTCCAAAGAGCTGTTTTGTTCTATGACTTGGGTTTGCTAGTGAAAATACATAAGTTTTACTTCGTCATTATTGTACTATAATGCACTCTTTAATGCATTTAAACGGAAGTAAATGCGCATTAAGTTGATGTAAATAAAGAAGTTTTTTTTACCTTCACGAATTAATTTGATTGGCGTATTAAAAGGTTTTATTGAAACTAAGCTGAAGTTTTATCCTCATCGAAGATTCCACGTCGCCTATGACCCGTGTCTAACGCCCACCTCATGCTCATTTCCATTTGGCCGCATGTTCGTGGCGACCTTTGCAGCCGTCCACGCAATCGTGGCCCCTGGACACATCTGCGTGTTGACTGTCGTGCGACCGAACGCCATCGCCGCAGGGCGTGCTTTTCCGCCTGCCGGAGACCGCTTCCAATAAAAACACTTCCATTGCCTTGACGACGCCTGCAAGGTCCTTTGTTACAATCGGACACATGTGGAGCTAGTCGAATGGGCGACCTTGAAATGTGGTCACAATAAAGATATCCATAAATTATGATAGCTCAATTTATTGGATCGATTATAATGACATTTATCACCATTCATAAATTAGCGAGGATCGACCTTGGCCTTAGCACTTTAGGCCACAGTTTTTTGAAGCAAACAGCGCTGAAGCACTTTAGATTATTTTTCCTACATTGTTTGCTCACTTCTTTAAATGACTGCTGCAGTTATATAGATGATTTTATATTCACATAGAGCATTTATCTATTAAAACTGTTAAAAAATTACTTGTATAAATAAGGATGCGTGTGACAATTTATACTTAAAAATCCGAAAAAGGTTCAGGGATTGAAATGCACAAAATCTCACCCAAGTTGAGTTTTAGTTATTGTGTCATTGCAACACTTCGTTACTTAATGTGTTAAGACTCCCTTTAACCAATCGGTGATATTAAAACATAAAGTTCGACTGGTTTTACATTTATAATAAATTTACTATAAAAACTTTTCTGAAAATAAGAGTAAATAATCTTCGCTTGGCAACTGATTTATACCTCGCATGAATATGTTATTTATAGAATACTCCAATTGAATAACAATTTTAATATGCATAGCCTTTTGACTTTTAGATTATTAATAAGTAATTCTTTTTTTTATTTAGGTAGAAAACGTATGTTGTTGAACCAAACATCTCGATCTGGAAAATATCAATTAAAGCGTCCACTTAGTGCATTCAAGGTCGCGTTAAATTGAAATAAACTTTTGCATGTTTTGATTTAAGGAAAATTTTTACACAATCTGATATTCATATCACCTTCAATTATGCATGTATAAGACATTTACAAAATCGTATTTTTAACAATTTCTGTTCCGTGAGGGCATAAAACTCTGTCATTTTATAATCAGATTAATTATCTCATTCGAAGATGTCATTTAAAATGATAACATTACATATTATAACATTACATAATATTATTATTTAATTATTAAGATATAACATTTGTGATGGAATAAGATTGTAGGCAACGCGTAGCTCTTCGGTTTTCTCGGACCCATTTAGAAAAGATACGTAGAATATGCGAATAATTGTTTGCGAAGAGTTCTAGTTTATTGATCGTACAGCTTTACGAGTGTGAAGGTCGTGATGCTGAAGACATTTTTTGTTCTTTATTTAAGTACTTGTCTCGTGGAGCCCACGAAGTGGAGAAGACACGCTTAGAAGAAATACTACGACGATATTATCTTTGGGTATTCCGAGTAATGGTCACGAGAATATTGAAATTAATATAACGTAATATACAGTATATTGACTTCGAACTTACTAAACATGTAATCGTAGTTGTTCTTTCATTCCACGGGTTCGACAATTAGAATCGATGTTTGAGGGATCGAAATCGTTCTTTTGTTGACTGATATAAAATAGAAATTAAAATTCATCCAATTAAACCTTGCGTATTACCAAATTGCCACATTAATGCCGATACGTCGTTGTTTGATCTTGTTCATCAAAATCGATCGCATTGCTCGTAATTATCATTGGTGGCCAGTAACAAAACAACAAGATTCCTGACGCAATGGCAATCGCTTGGCTATCAATGTCAGGTTCCTCCACAAGTGAACTTTGAAGTGGCTCTCGTGTCTCATACAGCGGTTGTACTTCAGTCTATTCCTCATAATCGCTGCTTGTTTGCCTCAACACCGTTGAGTGTTAGTCACACAACGCATAAAATCGAGGATTGACGACTCAATCTTTTGACATGGTACTGTTTTCCCTTTGCATCCAACTTTTGACCTAAAATAGCGATAGGTTAAACAATAATTAAAGATTGTAAATAAATTCTCGAATATTAGTTAAATAATTATGCTATTTGATTCATTTAATGACTTTGATTCATTTAATCAGTGACAATAAACACAAATGCACTCTGGATGTCCTAATTTAAACACTTACTGTTTTAATTTTTCTTCTACACCATGGAGAAAAAATATACCGGCGTTCAGATAAAAATACTTGATTCTAATGATTTTTGAATTCCACATTTTTTCTACAATTGTTGTTGACATATTTTTCACGTGACACGTTATAATATGAAAATTATAAATGCAATCTTTAGTACTTTACATAAAAGCGTGTTAAGTAATATTTTTAGTATTTTTAAGAGTAATGCTGGTTTAGTGGGAGAGGGGAAGGGGGGGGGGGCATCGATCTGTGGTTACGATTGAGGATTTTAAAAAAGAGCATCTGTTGAGTTTCTTGCCGGTTTCTTCTCAACAGACAACTGCTTTACGAACCGGTGGTAACTTACGAACGTATTAATTTTTTGTAGAATTTTGACATTTCATAAGAACGCACAATCGTCTATGTGAATAAATATATTTTTGATTTTGATTTTTGATTTTGATCCTAGAGGCGTGGGTAAAAAGTATTTGGATTTTAGGTACCGTACGGGCCAAAATCACTTTTCACATCTGTATTCGATATTCGTCGATAGGATCACTATTTGCCACGATTTGGACTTGAATAACACAAATGTAAATATAGACAAAATAATTTAATTAAATTTTTTTTAAAAATCTTTTTAACATTTTAAAGATCTCGTTGACATAAATGACCAATTGAGATATAACTAGAACATCGACTTATATAACGGAGAAGAAAGTTCCTCTTTCCAAAACCTTTTCCACAGTCATAAATAATCAATAAAATGTCGTAAGCGTTAACAGCGCCACAGCACACAAGCAGGACAGGTTTTATCTCGGGCGTGGAAGAAAATAGCGCCAAAATAATTGAGCGTAGCATCAAATGTACCAACGTTCTTGGAATGTTTTAGAAATTGGTGTTGTGTGGGAGTGCCCGCATAGTGTTCTCAAAATGCAACTAAATGTTCTATGCACATATTATTTCGATTAAGGCACAAATGGTAACAAAGCGATTTCATGTAAACGCTCACCGAACTTTATTCTCCATTTATTCTAATAGGTTATTCTGCTTTTGTAACAGTTGCGGCGACGGCGGGCCTCCCCCGTTCTTCCAATAGCTGGCAGCAGCTCGTCGCAGGTGAGTTTTGCTTTCTACCAAAAACTCCTCGTGATTATTAGCAGCCCTTGAAAAAACTTCTTTATACGCAGATTACGCTCGCAATAACATGGAATATGGAGCATCCGGTCCACAGTGGACTTTGCCCGGTGCATCACGACCTGCCGTAGCTGGTACGCCTTTCTTATCTTGTATAAAACAATTCCTACAATAAAATGATTCACACTATTTTTAATCGACAGCTGGTGCCGATTTGCAGCCGGCGATACTGCCCCTGCTCGTGCTGCCGATGCCGGTTCAGACAAAAGATCCCCCCCGTCCAGGTATACTGCTGCATAACTCTTTTAAGTCTCTTTTAAGGCAAGTAATCATTTCTATAACACTTTTATCTTGCTTTCAGAATGCCCCGTCAGCAGCGATATGAGTAACAATCAATATTTGAACGTATATGAAAATAACGTAAAACATCCGAGGCCTTATCCAATTCCCACAGACAACAATAACTACAAGGTTTTCGATGAAATGTATCCTCCCAAAAAAGGACAACCACCACGGCCTCAAAATAAGCCCACTGAAAGTCCTTCCACGACACCGTCCGTCGATTTTATTCCGGAAGTCGATTCAACTCCAGTACCTCCATTCGATAAAGTTGGTAAGCACTTGTCCTATTATGTTATTACATTTCTTATGTATCTTTTGTGGAAATTAAAGAAATTGTTATAAATACCGAAAATAGCCCGCTCTATAGCTCACTAAGAGCTTCCTTATAGCGTAACTAAGAGCTTCCTTATAGGGCGAATAGTGAAGGACCACTAATGGTTCCGTAGGTCTGAAGGTCTTAAAACATTGAGGGATATTGAAAGAGAAGATAATTATGCGAATTGCCTATTAAGTAATTGGAATTATGCAATTGGATTCGTGGTTTTCGCATCGAAGTTGTCCTTACCATACAACACACAGACTAACTGTCCTAGGTAAATATAGTCGTCAACCATCTCGAACGTAGTGCTCCGAACTACAATCGGTACGGGCGTGACGGAATTAGTCATTAGATAACAATGGACGAGATTGAGATATACTTTGTTGGAGCTTATTAGTTTATACAACGTGCAATTTATTTTATTTATTTTAAGCGATCGCTCAAAATAATCGGGGTATTTATTACACGAGGAATTTTTGAACGTTTGCGTTCTTCTCGACAGTGTCGTCCCAGCAGCTGGTGGAGTTATTCCGCGCGCAGACGCCAAGCGCCCCCTACGAGCCGCCGATCAAGCAGTCGGCGTACGACGGGAGCGAGCGGGCGCCGCCGCCGTTCCCCACGGAGCCGCTGAGGTATCGCCGCGCGTACGGCCAGCAGCTGGCGGCGGCGCCCGGGCCCTCCGCCAATGGCCCCCCGCAGGGCTCGAGCCGCTCGCGCGTCCCGCCCCGGCCGAGCTTCGACCGGCCCCTGCTGGTGCGCGGACAGCTCACCGTGCCCCGCGCGGACTACTCCGAGCGATACACCGTGTGGTGAGCCCTCATTCATACTACCTTGTCTGTCATTAACGCACTTTGTTTGGTATATTACTTTGATAGGAAGACTAGGTTTTTTAATGTGAAATATGACACCCAGTTTTGCTAGCGGTACAATTCTATGATGATTGTGTTTAATAATGTTTCATGGTACAGGTGGGATCCAGATAGCGGTGGCGCACGTGTCGATTTCCACGACGGTTCCGCCTCCTCTTTCCGCTCTTTGGCCGAAGGCAACGTATACCGCGCTGAGGTCAGCTTGTTTCGTAAATATATTTTATTTTTAGAAGAACGGTACTCGATTCCTCTAGATACTTTTTGTCATAATATGCCTATAATTTGATTGCTACGGCAGAGAAATTCGAATTTGTTTTGCTTAAGTAAGCGGAATTCATGATGAGCGATGGTTACGGTTTTCGCTGTGGGCAGTCGCACGTGGACCGCAGCGGGGAGCGCACCGTGCGCCGCTGCGCCGTGGGCTCGCCGCAGCGCGCCTCCGCCGCGGACCAGGCGCTGCCGGTGCTGCCCGCTGAGCTGGATCAGTTCTCCTTTGCCGGTCAGTTTCTACTTTATTTCTTTCTCTCCCTAGCTTTTCAATACTAACTGACTATGTTTAGACTTGATTTTGAAACTGTAATCAGATGAAAAACATGGCACTGTGTAATCAGATGAAATAATAATAAATCCGCCATCTTTTGTACTTAATGGAGTTGAGGCATGCGATACATTTTGTCGTACGCCGGTCAACAGTAAGATTTTATGGTTTGTTGTTGTCGTTTATGTTATTAAGATAGATGGCGTAGATTTCTACCAAATAAATCACAAATGCTCTTAGCACAAACTTTGTTTGCATTCATTGTAATGACTGATTACACTTTAGTAATTGCAACTTCATTAACCTATGACCTCAAGAGGACCGTCTAATTTGAACAATATAGTTTGCAACCAACTGATACAGGATACACGCACGCAGGATGCATGTACAGGGTCAACGCATTTAGGTACTCATTTACATTCATCATCATCATCATCATTTCAGCCTGTCTGACTCCACTGCTGGACATAGGCCTCCCCCATAGACTGCCACGAAGTACGATCCTGAGCCACCTGCATCCATCGACTTCCCGCACATTTGCACAGGTCGTCACTCCATCTAGTGGGGGGTCGTCTTACACTGCGATGGCTAGTACGAGGCTGCCACTCGAGAATACATTACAAAAATACATTACAAAAAAAATTATAGTGAGTTGTGAATTATAGTTGTAATGTAAAATGGTTGTTATTACCGACTTGAAGATTACTATTCAATAACAGATAAGAATAGCAGAAAGTCTTGTAACAATTTAGTTCTGTTTCTGTACGTGTAAAATAACACAGTGAGCATTATCGACACTATGACATATTTAGAGCGAATGTGCTGGTTCCCAAGCATCAAAAGAAATAGTTTTGACTACTACATGTTGCTAGTAATTAAAGCAGCTAATTATAGTAAAGCAAACCTGTTTTGACATTCGCATTTTACAAACGATCACTGCAAATGTGCTCTACTACGTGACTAGGCAAGATACGTTTGGGACGGTTTGTGTATTTCGTGTTCTTGTAAACGCGGTTAGTGTTAGCTGACTTTGTGTTGTTTTTTATGCGTTCCAGGATACGTGGAGAGCGCACGCGGCGTGGGCGAGCTGTGGCGTCGCGTGGTGGGGGGGCGCGCGGGGGAGCTGGGGGGCGCGCGGGGCGAGGCGCTCACTACCCGCCACGACTTGCTGCTGGCAAGGGATGCTGAGCGCGTTGTGCCTCTCTCGTAGGTGTCCTTAGCATTTTCGTGTCCAGAATCGTGAATGATACACTCCATTAAAAATTCATCTTTATTCCTGCAGGTATACGGTGTCAGTGAACAGCTCTGTGCTTGGCCCTGAATGTGACGGTTACCACCATGAGTTCTTCGAGGTCACGGAGCAGCAACATATGCCGAACCTTTTCAATCTCGATCTGGGTAATTTTTGCTGTTGTATAATTTGATAATTGATGGTCGTTTAATTACGGATTTTAGTTATTTGATTTACATTCCTAATTTGGATATTTTCTTTACATATTAAGACGAGGCGTGCGATCAAGTGGAGTACGTGAACGGCTCCTCTGCGGAGCAGCGAGCGCGGCTCGATCCGCTGCGCGAGTTCACGTTGCCGCGCCGTGACCCGCGCTACGACGACAAACTTAACGAGTGCGTGCTGACACGCTTTTAGTTTCAATGTTTCAATTTGACAATTTGATTTTTGAGTCAGTGAGTTTTGGTTACCGGAATCTTCTTTTTATAAAGGTTGTCAACGTACCTGCAAGCCGCTGCAGAAATTAAAACCATGGTAATGTAAATCAAATGCAATGGTAAATAAATTTTTGTATTTACAAATACCTAATGTCAATAACATAACTTGTTTGATATATAGGTATTACAAATCTCAGACATGTATGTTAACTGAGAAGAGATCTTTAATTGATAGAGAAACAAAGTAAAAACTCGGAAACTCTTACCGAGTTTAACTATTAACCGGTATGGAAGACACAGGTGTCCTAAATAAAATGACGCCAACAGGTTTGTGAGCGAATACGAGAGGAGTTACGTGGACAACACCGAGGAAGCGGTGCGCAAGAACCTGATAATGCAGAGCCACCGGTTTGTGTCGTCCGGCAACCGGGAGGGCGCGACCGCCGAGCTCGGCGTCAACTTCCTGTGCGACCGGCTCGACGCGGAGCTCGACGAGCTGCGCGGTGTCGAGCCCGGCGCCGAGCTGAGGCGCGCCGAGCGCTTCCCGCACTCGCGCCGCCAGCTCTCCGCCGCTGAGGACGCCCTGCCCAAGCAGTTCGACTGGCGCCCACGGGGGGGCGTCTCCCCGGTGCGATGTGAGCACTGCCATGCCCTTCATACGTATAGACGGCTATATCATCATTCAAATTAAATGCGCTTAATACGTCACTTCGGAGGGTGGAGGTCGGTCAGTCACATCTTATTTAGTTGACTACAATTTCCTCGCACTGCATTATCTTGTAAGTACTAACGTTAATGATGATTAAAATAAGGTTAAGAGATAGCAAACGAATCTATAAAGGAGGCAATAATGACCAAGACCAGAAACAGGAATATGAATTTTCATGTAGTTTTATTCATTTATTCGACGTAATTTAAACTTGTAAATAACTGAGGCTGACCTGTTGCTCGTTGCTCGTGTCCAGACCAAGGCTCGTGCATGTCTTGCTGGGCGTTCGCGGTGGCCGGGGCGGTGGAGGGGGCGCTGTTCGTGCGCACGCGCCGTCTAGTGCCGCTCAGCGAGAAGTGCCTCGTCGATTGCGGACACTCGTCAGTAGCAATTAAACTTGATTTTCTCATTCCAACCTCTGTTTCATAATGAACTTACATTAATCACTCTCATCAGGCACGGAGCAAACGGTTGCAAGGGCACGTGGCCCAGTCGTGCCTACGACTTCATCCGCGATCGCGGTCTGCCAGCGTTAGATGAATACACACCATACGAGCCTAAGGTACTTACAAAAATAAATACGTCACACTCAAACATAGTCGAGCGCCAGGAACAAATTTAAAATCTAATACTTTTTCATTTCACTAAAGGTCGATCAGTGTGCGAAGGTTTCACCCGTCACACGAATCAGTGGTCACGTGAACGTGACGCAAAACAGTGTTTCTGCTCTGAAGGTTCGTAAACTCCCTTAGAATCTGTTACAAGTCACTTTTTCCTGCAGCTCCTTAATTTCGTCTTTGAATTGTTCAGATCGCGATAAGGCGACATGCACCGACTGTTGTGATCGTCGATGCGAAGGCCAAGAGCTTCATAACGCACAAAAAGGGTGTGCTCTACGACGATCGCTGGTTTGTATACACCATGTTACATATATCAAATGGCCTTCGTATATACCCGTAACATGAAATTAGGTATTATGGCATGTAACTGTTATTTAATTAAAAAATAAAAAGATTTTAATTTAAATTATAATTAATCGAGGTATTGGTCATATTCTAGTCGATGCACTTTTGCAATTTTAAAAGGTCGATGTTTAGTCTGCTACAGCCATCCCAGGAGTGCCAATCGATGAACTTTATAGTTATAGAATAGATTGCGCGTGTTTCAATTTATTAGTAGTTCCAGAAACAGGGATTTTGGTGGCGATGACGATAACCATGACGAAACTTTGCAGTGGCAAGAGACGGAAGCAGCTGAACCACGCCGTGTTGGCGGTGGGCTGGGGCGAGAAGCGCGGCGAGCCGCACTTCATACTGAAGAACTCTTGGTCCTCGAAGTGGGGCGAGGGCGGGTACGTGCGCGTGCAGGCGCGCGCCAACACGTGCGGCGTGCTCACGATGCCCTCCTACCCGCGCCTCGAGGGCGAGGACGTGCTAAGGGAGCTGCCGCCGCCCCCCTCGCCCTCGCCCTCCGACGCCGCGGCCGACCAGTCGGACGCCGTGCGACGCAACCGCGGCCTAGCCACGCCGGACTATGACGAAGAAGATCTCTGAACGCAATTTGTGCCATCAGTTTGTTTTAATTTGTTTCATTTCCAATAACTATTAAGTTTTCAACTTGATTTTTATTCCAACTCCTTGTTTCTTTCTTGAATTTAGCCGTCGTTGAAGCTTATAGAAAAAATGGACACCTAATGAAACAATTAAATTCTTTGCCAACGCCGGAATCAAACCCACGTTTTCCGGATCCATCCACCACCACATCCTTATATGGACATGATGTGAAGAAATGATTGTAAAATTATATAACGGTTGGTGTATCTCAATGAACTGTTCTTTATTAGTGATCGAAGCTTCTAAGAGGTTTGGTAACAAATTACTATGTGGAGTGTTCCAACCATTAATTATTCAGATAAACTCCAATATCAATTTTCATCACTTCCTTACATTTGGCATACTAAAGATTGATATTTTTCCATTTTCATGTAGCGTCACCTCGTATATTGTTGATGTACTTGCATTATTGCTATTGGATGTTAGCCTATTAGTTCATCATAACGCTCATAGATGGCGTTATACATCAATATCTGAATATGAATAATATGATTGTTTATATGGATAATTGGTTTTCATTACAAATAGTCTCCAGCTATATGTTAAAATACAAATATAAGGGTACAGATATGTGGTATAATAATAGCCGTCGCATTACTAATATTTTGTTCCTTACGTGGTACACAACTTTGCGGAGGAACATTGTGCTCTCTATATTTGGATCATTGAACACTGTGCTCATGAAAATCGTTGTTTCGGTGGATGGCAGTAATGCAATACTACTAACACAAGTAGAATAGCCGGATTGTTATTCCACTGAAATAAGAAAAAAAGTATAATAACAACATATTCAACAGCATAGTTGGCCAGCACTCCAATGCGGATAGACTTAATACACATCTTCACAAACACTTTTATGATATTTTGAAAATATGCAGGTTTCCTCACGATGGTTTTCTTCAAGGCTGAGCACGTGATAAGCACTTTAAAGATAGTAGTAAGATAAAAATATACATTATAAGATTTCGAGATATACGTGCATCATACTAATACTTACAGGGTTCCTGAGGTCGAGCAGATACGTGTGTCTCTGTATTTCCATGAATATTCAGATGGAAAATCTGAGACTTACAAATTATTTTAATGTTCTTATTGCGGTCCCTTTTTATTGAGACGATAATTCTAATAGTTGGAATGAATAACATATGGAAAAATATAGCCCTAATCTCTGCACTTAAGATAAAATATTAAAATTTGTACACAATAGGACGAAAAGTTTGTTGTCGCTATGGGAATCAAACCCACGTCTTCCGAATTTCTTTTCTCTACAAATTAATGTCTCATCTATCTAATAGACATCTTCTACCGCATTTATCACGGGGAGTGTTCTGAGGAATTGTTTGGATTGATCCCGGCGGCTGAATTCCACCATCGGACATCGCGCCAGAACCAAAAATTTCATCCACACCACCTCGATGTCCAACGTTCCACAACAGCGCGATTTTTAAGGCATTTCTTGCCTCGCACAACCACTCTGTGGAACCAACTGCCGCCGGTGGTCTTTCCGAACTGTTACGACCTGGGAACCTTCAAAAAGAGAGCGTACTCTTTCTTAAAAGGCCAGCAACGCATTTGTGAGCCCTCAGGTGTTGCAGGTGTTCGGTCGGCGGTAATCACTTAGCATCAGGTGAGCCTCCTGCTCGTTTGCCCCTTTTCTCCATAAAAAAAAAAAGACAATTTATATGGTCATGTGCGTCGTAATTTATTTTTCCCACATTCCTCCAGTAAACACATAAAGATTCTAACACTCATAATGGCGACATATAGGATTATTCTAGTAAAAATAAGTTCAAGTCACTGTATTCTTTTCTTATCCCTATCTATAATTTTAAGGGCTAATCGGTCAGTATAAATTAAATTTACGTCGAAAGAGGGAGTGGAAGACCGCACGTTTCTTTATGCACCGGGGCTCTTGTACCCCTAACTTTACATGTGTTAGTCTATAAATATCAATAAAAGTTTTTCCTGTACTGTAGGGATACGTGTGTAGTAGAAAGTAAGCAAATTGGGATGCTGATACAGCGCGCAAACAAATGAACGCATATACAGCGTGTCGTTACAACTGCGACAATAAATGAACACCCGTTTAACGCTACTTGCCAATAATTATAAAAAAATGTAAAACGTTAAAATAGCCAGTAAAAAAAATAGTAAATAAAAAGTAATTAAAAAAAATATATTTTTCAAAAAACTAATTAAATAAAAAAGAAACAAAATTTGTAACACCTACGACTGATTGATTCATACATTCAGAGACTTTTTCATTCGTTGCCACAACGTCGCAGTATGTTTTATCTCTTTTAAATTCATTCAACCCATTCATATGCTTTGTGACCTTTACAAATGAACTTTACGTTACAGTTTTATATTTAAGGGTGTTCTAAAAATGTTTGTTTTGTAAAATTTAATAACTCGGTAAATATTTAGGTTCAAAGAATTTAAATGCTTAATACAATTTTAAAAAGTCACCCCTATATGTGTCTTCATTTATTGTCGACCCCCCACTAGATGGAGTGACGACCTGTGCAAATGTGCGGGAAGTCGATGGATGCAGGTGGCTCAGAATCGTACTTCGTGGCAGTCTATGGGGGAGGCCTATGTTCAGCAGTGGACTCAAACAGGCTGAAATGATGATGATGATGATTTATTGTCGCGGTTGTAACAGCACGCTGTATATAGCGCATCACAGTCGTAATTTTGGTTATTCGGGGGACACTCGCAATACTCTGACGGTCGCGGAGTCAGCCAGGCACTCACTAGTGGAATCGTGTTAGAGTCGCAATATACGGAGTTACCGAGTATGAGTGAAATCAAGAAGGATAATGGCAATAAAGCCGTTATCCTTCTTGACTTCTTATGTCTTAACCCCAAAGCTCCAAGTTAACAGTGATTCATAAATTGTGAATGCATCCTTCATCACAAATAAAATAAAAATAAAAACATTTTAAAAACAAGCTTTTATTATGTTTAAAAAAATAGAAGAAGAAAAGAAAGAAGAAAATATCATTATATATTTTGTAACCGCATATAGTTCACTATCGTAAAACGATAGTGAATTATATTTGACTACGTCACAACTATCCCATGTCGTAAGTAGGTGTCTACATACCTATAATACATTTTTATTAATCCCCAAAACTTTACACCTTGTTTTAAATCTTTGTGTTTTTATTACATACCCATTTTTTTTATTAATATAAACGTTATTTGTTACATTGTGATTGCAAAAGAATGATAATGAAGGTGTAATAATATTAAACGTTCTTTAATGTTCCATCAATGTAACACGCTTACAGAGTTCCTATGACCACCTCCCAGCTCCATTATCAGACCCTGGTTAACATTTAAAGACAAACTACTCGTCAAGACGATTCAAATGAGCCCAGACTCGATGGAATTGTGTCGTTTCATTGCGAAGTTCCTTTGGCCACCTTCCAGCACCATCATCTGATCAGCACCATGTCATCATTAAGTCGATGATACCTGTCCAACTTTGGAAGCCACGTATGCCATCAAAGGTGTTTTTGTTCTCGATAAAGAAAAGATCTTTAACAGGATTTCGTTGAACACAGCACGACACAATCCCCGTTTTAAGGACCGAGTTTGTTTACAATTACCATTCAATTGACGTTTATGGTGCGTGGGTGACCATGCGTGCGGCGTGGACGCCCTGGACAGTGACAATTAATCCGTACAAACCGGCAATTGTTAAAAAAGACAATCTAAGTTCTTTTTTGCTTTCTGAAACATATTAAGTATATTTTTATCTAACTATAGTATGATGATACAAACGTTGAGGAACTGTTTTCGAATAGCAAGAACTATTTACAACTTCTAGTAAGTTTAAAGTTGTAAAAAATGTTGTTTTTTAATGAATTTATGTAATAATGGTTTTTTTATGTGACATAGTGGCAAAGGGGCTGGCGATTCACCTGATGTCGAATGATAACTGCCGCCCATGGACATTTGCAATAGCCGTAGGGTTGCAGATGCGTTGACACTTTTTATTAAAGTGGGCCTCGACTACCTCACTCACCGGACGAAATACAGAACTATAACACTTTTACTTCACGCCGGTCTTCTGTGTGGTCGTGGAACCTACTACCTGCCAATTTGTGCAACAGCGAACACACATTGGCCCTACCCCCGTTTTCATTACAATTTGATTGTTATTAGTATAAACATATTAAGGTTATATTATGTTTATGTAAGGTCAACAATAAAACATAATTATTATTTAATTCCACTTCTGTATTGAATTGCTCACAACAACACTTTATGCGAGATCTAGAAAATGATAAACACAAACAATTTTACTGTTCTGTGTGTCCGTTAATATTATACGTAAATCATACTGAACCAGTGTGCCTGCGCGTGAGCGTGATAGAGACACTGAGTCCGACACCAATACGCTGTGTGCGAGCGGGACAGCGGTCGGTCTGTCCTTCTTATGCATCCGTGTTCGAATTCCAACAGCGGAGTCCGTCATCGATTGGGTACTTGTTTGGGTAGTTCAGTTCTCCTCGCAGATCTCGGCGAACGTGCGTCATTTTTTTAATGTGTTTGTTATGGAAATGTGTTCTCTCGTGTGCGAAATGAGTGCCTAACGAGTGTGGAAGTCGGTGCTTCTACGTGGCCAGCGAGTCGATGACAGTGGCTTGGGCGCTGAGAAGCGCTGAGAAGGGGATCTGGGCAGCGATACCGACGACGGTGCGTGGAGGCCGTCGCAGCTCTGTCGGTCGTCGCGTATCTGCAATTCTGCAATCGGCGCTCTGGGGCGGAGGGCGGAGGGCGCCGCTATCTGTGACCCCTCGCCGATTTGTTTACGCGCATCTCGGCCATATTGGTAATTAACATAAAAACAAGCTCTTCCATGTATGTAAACATAAAACTTAAAACTTAAGTTTAATGTATATACTAATTAACATAATAATTATCTATAAATACAGACGATATTACAATATATACAAATTTATATATCCTGTGGCTATTCAGTGGCAGCAGCGCATATACTGCCGAAATAAATGAATAGATTACTTAAACAAATAAGCTAACCTAACCTAACCTATCCCTATTTGTTTAAGTAATGTAAAGAGTTTTCTCCTATCAGATTCTTCAATATCAAAAAACCCAACCCCGATAATTAATTTAGAAGCGTGTATTGCGCAATGACCTGGACGACCTGTGTACGAACCACATAGACGCAATAAGGCCTCGCTCTCTCGCAATTCTCGCTACGCAATTAGTCGAGGGAATCATATTCAATTTTTTGAAGATGCTAGGACTAGGATTTAGGAATGCATTGCACATATATTGGAAGGTTTTTCAGAAATGTCTAAAAATACAGAACACTATAATATAGCGAATAGTAGATATTAAAAGTTTTAAAGTAGCAAAATTCAAGAAAATATATGATAACGGAGTTCCAAATATCGCTTAGGGCGTGTGAAAAACCAAGATGATAAGGGTTTCCGGCACAGAATGCCACCTGTGGCTTTATCACTAGCCACAGTTTCATGTTGAGCATCAGGGCGTGCACATTCAGGAGATGGATCAAATTAAACTTCATTGTTTTGCATGAATCATAACATGGGCATGCCATGGGCGTTTGTTGAACTAAGTCACTAAGATTTCAAGTTTTGATTGTCACGTGTGGATGTTCCAAAATGTTTATTTTTCCTATTATTAGTACATGTACAAACTATCAAAACATTTATACAATTGGATGGTTGTTTTTGCAAAGAGCTTATCAGAACCGTGCGCTCGACTTTGAGAAGTACATTATATTCTTGCACTTTAGAAATCGATGTTAGTGCCACATTAGTACACGATTTCAATATATTCAATATAGAACAATGAACAATATTGATAGGTAAAGAAATATTCGAGCGATGCGCAGTTACCAAGACTTCTGCGTGACCTGACTATCTTTGCAAAGATTAGCTATAAACAAGCGCATGTTATTATTATGGCCTGTGCTAATATTCTTTATTCTCTTAAATGGGGTGTTTCAAGACACAGGATAACCGTATCGATTTAGTCTTCACAAAAATGTACTAACGGACCTGAAGTTCACCCAAATTATTATGGATACAAGTAATAATTTGTAGGAGCACACGAGACGGCTATGGCGATGCCATTCGGTGAACCAACGATTAAACCTCTGCGCTGGCCGACAAATATTTCAATTAAAGCGATACCATTTCGGGTTTATTTTGTGACCATTATAGTATTAGAACAACGGGTACATGCATAATTTTTTATTTATATTATTGTAGCAAAAGTTTTTATTGGCTTAATGCATGTACTTTCTCTATTATCTAAATTGACTGAAGCGCTTTGTAAAACATTAATTCTTTTATAATATCCTTAGATAAGCGACATTTTGAGGGATGTCAGAGTAAAAAATAACCGTAACTGACTATGTCGTGTATGTATGCTATGAAAGTGGATTAAATATACAAGATGTCTAAGGATTGTGGACAGCGGACATCTGGAATTGGTGCTTATCCATCAGGGTAGGTAACGAGCGTACATATACGTTGTTACATTTCATTTTGTAAATCTATTAACTCCTTTAAGAACACCATACTTTCAACTGATGTTAAAACTTCAACATATATTTGATTTACGTCTTTCTCTACTATAGTCTATAGTGTAGGTAATACATGCTCAATATTTCCCAATTTTTGTTTGAACTCCGTCTCGGAGGTTAAATGGCGAGTATTGACACTACTAAGTAAACATTCATTTTTCTAAAATAAAATGTAGGCTTTACTAAACATTAGTGCAAATGTTTATGGTATCGGATTGGTAGCTTCAGAGGTTAGTGATTACCCATTGCATGCAAATGAGACTTTTTACTTGAAAATTTTATCTGTTTTTATTATATTTTTATATAAGTCCCGAAACTATTCTATGAGGGGCCTTTCGCAACCGGTTACGCGATGCGTAACGTAAAGGTTTGCGATTCAGGTTAGGCGTAATAAAGTTATATAACGAGTGTACATATTGCTTACTTAGCACGAACGTCGATTACGACCCCTTTAGCATGCTTGGCTCTATGCAATGGATGAAGAACGATGTCTTGTATGTACTCACTTCTGTTCACTTGCAAGTTGCACTTCTTGAGCCAAGAAATCTAAACAGATTAACAATGCAGCGACTGAAAATGGCAGACAAAAATATTAGTAAAGATTTGAGCTGTGACTGGAAATCAATGATGCGTGACATTTTATAGCTGAGCAGAGCGGGCGGCGTGGAAATTGTTTGTGCGCGTTTTAATGGAGCCGAATGAGCGCAATGTTAGGAAACAAAGTGGCCGATCTGCTGCCGACGTTATTGCGAATGAGACCACGAAATGGAAGTTGACCATTAGGATTGGTCATATGGTACATTGGTCAATCCGGTGAGAGAAATCGGACCGTACTGCGGCCCAATAAGGTTGTTTGTTGATTACAGCCACCTGATAGTATCGTAAGAGGCGCGTTGCTTAAGCACGGCTGCAGCGAATCGGCCCTTGTGCAACATCGTTGCGCAGCTTCCGTTTTCGTCTTTCATCGTATTTGTATGATATGCTTACATGTCACAAGTTAAAAATCATTAAATTAAGTATTAAAGATCTCTGAGTGAATTCCGGGCTCCGATATTGTAGATTGCTCGGACAGCTCTTTTTTGAAGAATAAATATAGAATTTATATCTGATGCACTAGCCCACAACAAAATGCCGTGAAAATAACTAAAGTAAACAAGTCTGGCAGTGTCGATGTCTGTTAGCTGCCTAACCCTTCTAATCGCAAAAACCGCGGAGCTTAGCCTATTCGCAAGAGATGATATATGGGGACTCCACTGGAGCTTTGAATCTACTGTAATTCCCAAAAATACAGCAGACTCAACTGGATTATATATATCAATGCTAAAGAAATACTGTTGATTGGTGATTCGCAGATGATTCGTGGGTTCTCACCATCCACGAAGCACAACGGTATCCAGGCACACGGTCAGCTGTATTTATTATACAGACGACTGTGACGACGCAGCAGGTTGCCTTATCCAAAAAGCCATGGCGGCATCAACCTGCAATATAAGGGACTATAACCTTAAAACGGCATTTAGGAACAGAGACGTAGGGGTCGCAGAGAAACTAGCTAAGAAATAACACCTATTAAACCTGCGACGAGGAGATCTCAGTCCATTCTTCCTCCCCTATGACAAAAACTGTGCCGAAAAAATATGTAGATAATATATTATATATATGTAATATATTTATAAATTCATTATTAAATTAAAATAAATATCCGTAAAAAATAACCTTTACCCAGTCCAGTTGATGTACGTGGCGTTGACAGGAAAAATTAAAATAAAAACTGCTAATCAAAAAAGAATACGGAACACGAGTCTGTAGAGGAAGTTTGTTAACATAATCATTTATTTATTTGGCGCGGTTACAAATTATAACATCACTAAATTATTACAGACTACATATTACTAAACTTGCATTTCAATAACAACCGAGCACAACATTCAATTTGAATATTATGTTGTTTAATGATGTATGTAACAAATTATAGTTACTAATTTACTTATGACAAAGAAGCAGACCAATATTTTAAGAGGACTCATTAATTGTTAAATATAATCACAAGTTTTGATGAAATATATGTCTCTATATAATATATTATATTGTCTACACATTCGAATTAAGGGACTGTTATGAGATACTTTAATCCAGGTTAGCGGTATATGGAATAATGGTAAATAATAAAAAAATAAAACCCTCATTTTGAATATAAATTTCATGTAGAGAAGATACAGCAAATCCCTATATTATTATGTAAATACCAATGTCCTAAACAATTATTTATTGATGTTATAAAATAATTGTACTAGAAAACAAACTACGCAAACCTATAATTTTCATTGGGGCTGCTGTTGACATATAAAATTGTAAATGCCCTAATTTGAAGACTCAAAGGATGGCGCGAAACCGCGAGTAGGTGACTCGTGCGCGCTCAATTCGACACAAATTGTTCTAATGTATAAATGAGAATTATATACTAATTGTATCTGTTTAGGAGATTTCGTAACATACTAAATATTAGCATATGCATTTTTAAAAGTTATTAAAAGGTAAACATAACATTATGCGTTTTACACTCAAACATCCCCTACCCCCGACACATATGTATATGGGTGAATATACAAAACTTGGGTAACTCGATGTCATCAGCCAATATATACAAAGTCTTATTATATATTGTTGAGATTCCAATTTATTTTAAAACAATGTAAAGTCCTTTATTTGGTCACTCAATTTCAGCTCTTCATTTTAAATACAAGTTAATAAAAAAACACACTTAATGCTTAAAATGTCAGTCCTTTGGCATGTCACAATCGCGAAAACCAACAGTCAAGTGACTATCTATTAAACATTATCATTGATTTAAGAAAACTTACTAAATTACTACAATCTGTGATGTACATAGTAATGTATACTACAACTTTTATAATGCAATATTCTCCACTTTATTTAAAAAACAATAAGAAACTTTGTTTTTGTTTTATTCGTCAGTCCGTTGTGTATTGTTTAAAATTGATAATCGGTCCAAATATTACCGACTCAACATCAAATTGCTGTTTGAGTTTTAATGTTGGTAATGAAGTTTGTTGCGGATCACAAAATTTGACGGCCGTCATAACTGTACCCAGTGCTTGGGTTGTCTTTGTCGTCTATACACGTGGTAAGTCAGTCAAAATGTCAGTCCCATGGTGAGACGTTATTTTCTTGTTAATCTGAGGTTTATTATCATTTATATATAGTTAACTATAATTTGTTAAAATGTAGTTTGTTGATATTCGAAATTACCAAAAAAAATATTAGTACAGATTATAACCCAAAATTATGTCTTTTTCGTCAGTCCGTTGGCGTCAGTCCTTTGCCAGGTATCGCGGCAGAAGACTGACGTGTTTCCATGGTACTGATGTTTTTTTGTTTAAGACCACTTTTATCTTAATTGCTACTGTGTATAAGCATTTCTATTTTATACTTCAGTTTAAAACATCATGCGGCATGCTAAAATAAATTGACTAGTGAAGAAATACTAAAAAAAAGAGAGAAGCTGAAAAGGCTACCGACCCCAATAAATTAGCGGAATACAAAGAAAAACAAAAACTTAGGTACTCAAAGAAAAAAGAGAAAGGACAAAGAAAAAATGTTGAAGACATGACACCACGAGCAACGAATAACTAGAAAAAAATGGAAAAATTATACATAAAACTACAGGCAAAGGAAATAGCTATTAAAACAAACCACTAATAATTTTATAAGCCAGAATACTCCTCCACCGACTGACGACAAAATACAACCCATAGTTAATGACGAAATCAGACCAGTTATAAACGAAGACCAAAGAGCAAAAGAAGCTAAAAAGAGAAGTGAAAGACAGAGAAAAAATAGAAACAGGGAAATAAAAAAAATAAAGGATATAGTTTCGAACCTTAAAACTAAACCAAAATACTCAGCGCCAAAAATATAAACAAGTCAAAAAACAGCTAAAAGAAAAGTAAAATCTTTTAACAAAACGCCACAGACTAGAATTGAACACATGAGTGAAGATATAACTAAAAAGAAAGAATTAGTGAAGAAGGGCCATTTTGGGGAAGTTATTAAAACACAATTGGAAGAAAACTACACTAAACTAAAAAATTGTAAAGAAAGAAAAAAATTTTACCAAGTTACATCTGGAAACTAACGACCCGCACCGGCTTCGCACTGGTGCAATGTATTAAACATATAAACCTTCCTCTTGATCACTCTATCTAGTAAAAAAACCGCATCAAGATCCGTTGCGTTGTTTTAAAGATCTAAGCTTACTTAGAGGTAGACAGACAGACGGTACGACTTGTTTTATACTATGTAGTGATTCGATAACTCAAAACCAATATTAATAAAACAGTGGGTGAGTATGAAAGAGTCCATAACAGATCTGAAAACGAAATATTTTTGATGGAATGTAAAATACAAACACAGGAAATGACACCTAGAAATGCCATTACAAAACTTGAAAATGATATGGTTAAAATTTTCCGCCATTCTTTTAACGTATTACACCAGTACAATGCCATAAAGCAATTGAAAGTCTTTATCTGATACGGATGACGTTGTACATATGGATTTTTTCTAAAATTTTTGTACTAAATATAACCAAGAAATTCAATTCTTCCATTTCGGCGGTTCGCGAACCCAAATTTCATTGCATACTGTTGTAGTAAGTGTTGTTGTAAGTGAATAACGTTACGTTAAATGTCAAAATGCTGTTTTGAAAACTGAGATAGTATTTTCTCCCAGTATTACGTATTAATAATTATTTTTAAGTGTTATTAAGTGATTTTAATACTTAAAAGACATGTGCTATTATTAAATCCTAAGAGATTTGTACAATTTTTTTATTAAAAATCATTATAATTCTTACAAAACTGTGTATTTTATCAGTACTATGTTACCCTCGTCAGTCTCCTGGCAGTCAAATTCTGAAAATTTTAAATATCTCAAAATCTACTCAAAAAAGTGACTGGCCCGATTTGGAACAATATATACATTAGATTAGCCATCATATAAACCCGAATTTGTAGAAATTTGATTTAATAACTATAGTAAACAAAATATCCTCAAGAGTTACCCAACTTTTGTATAATCACCCATATATACTAGCTGACCCGGCAAACGTTGTTTTGCCATATAAATTATTTGTAGGATAGAAAAAATGTTTGGGGTGGAGCACTCTTAACATTTAGGGGATGAAAAATAGATTTGTCCGATTCTCCACCCTGACCGATATGCACACAAAATTCGTTTGTCCGTCTGTCCGTCTGTCCATCTGTCCATCTGTCCATCTGTCCGTCTGTCGGCCTGGCCGTCTGTCCGTCTGTCCGTCTGTCCGTCTGTCCCTCTGTCCCTCTGTCCGTCCGTCCGTCCGTCCGTCCATCGGTCACCAGGCTGATCTTCTTATAAACCGTGATAGTCAGAAAAACTATTTAAATATTTATTTTCCATACAGCAGGCATGATATTTTTGCCGTTTTTATAGATAATGGTATCCGACCTATCCGACGTACTTGGCCGTTTTTTTTTTCATTAATAGTAAATCAGTAGTCAAGGAACTAATCGGAATCCCAATCAGTTTTATCAACAAAAAGTACGTCTTATTCATTTATGTTAATGAGATGATATCTCATTCCATTCTTCTACGATTACAATAATAATTTAATGCTACTACAATAGAGTTTCACAACTTCAATAGATAGCTTACAGTTTTTAAACATAGTCTTCTAATAATATTTTTCCTTTCGCCGCCAGGTGTTTCTCTTTAGCTCGTCCAGGTGTTAGGTGCACGACACTTGTTCGAATTCTGAATCATCAACTGACAGTGATAATTGAGACAATATTCTATTAGGCACAAATGTGTTAGTGTTTGAACTGAATGAATTATTTCATATTTAGTGCTGAAAAGCTCCCAAATCGTAAGAAGTCTTGAAGCAAATAGTATCACCATCCTCATGAAGCTTTAATTTGATAACTTAGCTCCAAGCATTTGTATAAGCGAATGTCAAGTCAATTAATTATATATGTTGTATTCGTACTCAACCAGGGTTGCTATTAGTTCTATAGGATGCGTATTGCCGTTTTCATACAATCCAATCTTCGATCATACTTGATTCTCGCCGTTTGAATTCATGATCGGGAAAGATAAAGTGAGGATCATGTGCACCTCAACATGTTATATTGCATGTGTGCACACCTAACGACAATTTCTACGAAACGTGTCCACGTTATAAAACTAATACACTACCGGACCGGACAGATTTCGACTTAGAAATAGAAAAAATCAAACCATTCTCGAATCGACCTGAAGACACACAAAAAACGCGTCATGGACTATGGCCTCTGTACATAGGATGCCTTTACCAGGAGTGGGACATGTATAGGTGTTACTTTACTTTTTTTTCAACTGCATAAGTGTAATAAATAACAATAGTACTGTAACGTGTGATTTCATCACTTTGTCGAAATTGTTGTTTTTCTAAAGACTAGGCTGCATGTCATATGAACCTTTGCCTTTTTTTTTTTCGCAAAGGTAAATAAATCAAAAACTTTGTAAGTTCTAAAGACTTGCATGTCATATGAACCTTTGCCTTTTCGGGTACAAAAAGTGTTCATTTGTTGGTACGTGTCATTTGAGATTGCCGCCGGTTCGAATTGACATTGGATAAATTAGTTTTTGTGGATCTATTATCTTCGACTGGTAAGTAATTGCTTGGTTTCGGTCATGCCAGTGGTTGTTTTGTTTACGTATTTCGTTTTCTTATCAATTCGCTTTTTTACAGTGCATGGCTAGAGGTTGAATCAGAACACGTTCCTGGTCGTATTATTTGTGATTGCTGTCTGGGAAACTCTGTGCTGGATTTGTTATCCCTCGTGGTAAGATCCTTTGTTATTTTCACTGGTTTCCTACTAAAATTGTAAGACTTGCATCGTGAATGTATTTAGAAATCTCACATGAAGGTAGATTGAGAATTTATTGTCTCGTGTTCCTAAGTATGGTTTTTCGAATATCACAGGTGGATGCTGAAGGCATAGGTGGCTGGCAAGCTGGTCTGAGCTGCTGCTCTATTAAATATTGTTTTTTACCTCCAGTTGGTAAGTGTTTCACATCTTTATAAGTGTAGGTGGATTCATATCCCTGCCTTTGTTAGTTCTACAATGTAATGTTTGTTGGCAGGAGGTCTCCTACTTACCCCCCAACAGTGTGGCTGTACACACTACACTTGGCCTGACTTTCTCTACTGGCACTGAGCTCAACGCTGACCTGTGCAAACAGGGCTGGTGTCTGCGGTGACATAGATTTAAAATAACTACCTGATTGGACTTTGTTTTTTAAATTGAATTGCATAACTTTCATAATCTCAAATTAATTTAATTATTTAACCTTTTATGGTCACACAAGGTAATGTGTAGGTCCTATGTACTCACGACTCCCTGAGATACTTAATTGTGATTATTACTACAGTCTGTTCCTAACAGACAAGGCGCCCAACTTATTATTATTATTATATTACAAAATATATTGTATCTGAGCCAGTCCAGGGATTGTAACTTTAAATTGAACGGATAAATACAACTTCTTAACCACTAATATATCTTTTATTAAATCTTCCCATCATTAACTATACACTCCCATTTAAAACGTTACAGTACCCTTTATACATTTTATCATTTGTCCATATTCGGGCTGCTTGATAAAATAAATAGTATCTCGTCATGTTAGCCTTGTGCCGACACGTTTTCCTTATTTTTACATATATTGCAATAAAAATTATCCGATTCGGTTTTTCGTCACTTTTAACGTAACGTAATAGGAAACTTGGGGTTTTATTTGGACGAGATATCAGCAGTTTCTGTTTATCGCTTAAAACATTATAACAGAAACGTTTCAAACAGAAAGAATATTATCATTATTACACATATGGAAACGAGCGAATGTCAACGAAGCAACTTGTAAAAACCCGGTAGTAAATGTCTTATAGTTTTAGATCGTACTATAAACGGCCAGTGGCAATTGCGATGTCGTTAATCAGAGATCACTGAAAATCGAATGGATGCTATCAATTTATTTATTTGAATAAATATTATATATAAAATATCGTAAATTAATTCTAGCTGTGTCATTTGCAATACGTTATATCTTTTTTTGGCGTTTGAAGTTACGAGAATAAAATGATATCCGTTTAAGAGTTAGAAGTATGCTTTATATTTCCAAGTCAAGGCATAAAAAATGTAGACATGTATAAAGTTTGACCTGGCTTGACACTATTTGTTTCCAAAAGTTTGCTCGGCATTAGTTGGCGTGAAATCGCGAGGATTTTTGGATTCGTATGTTTAATTAATTTCGGTCGATGTTGCGGTTCCCTTAAGGTCAATGGTGATGCGGCGCGACACCATCGAGGCCTGCGTCGAGAGCCGCACGCTTTTCCGAGAAACACGGAGCAACTATATCTGCACCGTCGACGCCATAGGTACGATCGCAAACTGGTTCTGAAATCATAAATAAATCACAAATGATTGCGAACATCGTATCGACTACTTGCCGAGTCGACTATTGATTTGGTTTGATTGGAAAGGATTTGTTTGCCTGTTCGTAGCCGTGATAGCTCAGTTTCCGTGTGCTCGCCTTTAATTCAGTATACTCGAGCAACTCGAGTTAAATCCCCGGTGCCGGCAACAAAGAAATTAATTTCAAGTCAATCATGTGAAAGAAAACATCGCCAGGAAATCTACATTATTCTAGAAATAATAATAAAAAAAATATTTTGAAGTTATGTGAAGTCCGCCAATCCGCAGCAGGGCCGCGTGGTGGACTATGCTCTGATACTCTCGGTACAGAGAAGGCCTTTGCCCAGCAGTGGGACATGTATACGCTGATACTTTACTTTTTATACTTGTTTGTACATTGTCGTGACTGGCAAAGCAATGTCATAAGTATATTACATGTTGTATATATTAACATACAAGCTTACAAGGCTTGGCCAGCAACAATGTTATGCCTTAAAAATTACCCGTTGATGACGAAATACAAGACAAAGCTTCATTTACGTTGGCAAAAAATTATGAATCTCTTATTTGCCCTCTGATACAAAACCATTTAAAGTTGTATTTGAGTGATTGTCAGCACGATTTTATTAAAACAAGGTCAACCAATACTAACTTATTATTGTTTGTCGAGATGTTGGCGGAAACTTTAGACTGCCAAAAGGAGGTGGACGTAATATATACTGACTTCATTAAGGCATTCGATCGTGTTTCACATGGTATACTGGCGAAAAAATTACGAGCGTATGGCCACTCAGGTTCATTATTTCATTAGGTTAGATCTTAGCTTTATGATAAAAAGTTTTATGTTGTAGTCAATGGATTTCAGTTATAACCATGTAATATTACGTCCGGAGTGCCTCAAGGCTCACATTTAGGCCCCGTGCTATTCAATGCTTTCATAAATGACTAACCTGCCTATATTAAACACTCTAAACCATTTCTGTATGCTGATCTGAAGATCTGAAGTTAGCTGCTACTTGTCGCTCCACAGAGGACAACATCTTATTACAGGAAGACATTAACCTAGTAGATTGAATGAATCAGTGAATCAATAGAATGGTGCCGTATCAATGACATGCAATTGAATGCTGAAAAGTGTCATCATATTAAATTCACGTGGAAACACATTGCCTTTGACTCAGTCTACAAGATCAACGGTAATTTCATTAGGAGAGTAGAGGAGATTAATGATTTGGGCGTATTGTTCGATAAAAAACTTACTTTTATTCCTCATCTTGAAAACTTAATTAAGAAAACGTCTAGAACACTAGGGTTTGTTTGGCGCAATACCAAAATTCTAAAAAGTAACAAAACGAAAATATTGTTTTATAATAGTCTCATAAGAAGCTCTCTAGAATCCGGTATTCCCGTTTGGAGACCACACTACTCAACTCATTCTTTACGTTTAGAACGTCTACAAAGAAGATTCGTCTCGCATTTACTAATAGTATCTCGAAAAAAGTTAGTTCTTATGAAGACTTAAATATTTTAAAATGTCATCATTGTGTAAACGTAGAGACTTACTTGATATCATCTTAAAATAAAAATGTATAAAAATATTCAATAATAAGATTGATTGCCCCCAACTATTACAACTTTTCAATTTTCGCGTTCCCCCTAGAATTCCACGTGCATGTATAACTCCTAGATCTGTGCTTGGCGCAAATTCACCAATTCCTAGAGTGTGTAAATTAATTTACAGTTTTAGTGACCGAATCGATATACATAATAAAGATACACTTACCTAACTCCGAAATATTGTAATATAGTTTTGTTTGCTTTTATCACATTTTTATATTTTTAATGCTTTTATATTTTGTATTTTTTGATTTATCATATTACTTTCAAAATTAATTGATTTGTAGTTTTCATTACAGTTTTATGTGGTCATAATTTAAATTTATTTAGTTATGTGGTAGGAATATTTAATTCACATCATATTGCCTTGATAATATTAATTCTTTCAATTTTTATTGTCATACTTTTTGTCATTTTATTTTTTGGTTTATTGTAACAACATAAGTTTATTTTCATTGTTAGCGAAATATTTGCCTGTAAGTGTTCGTCACATATGTAAGTAAATATGATTTAAGTTTCCTCTTTTTAATGTTTAATAATGATATGTGACCGACGAACCTGTTGAATAAATAAATAAATAAATATTGGACTGCATAAGATCAAATGATAATTCGTCGAACATTGTTGAGCCACTGGCTTTATGCTGTAAATGCCGGTCTATTCCACAACGGGTTTTGGTGTATCTTTTATTCTTATTTACCCATAACTGATTTTATTCAAATTATTTTCAATAATATGTAAAAATTAGGCCCGACTAGGGGTGGCGTTTATTTTTAACTATTTCTTATATATACTTGATTTTTACACAGTAGCAACCAGTTTCCATTAATGCGTGGTTTTTCGTCAATCGAATGCTGTGGGTTTATTTCATGGTCCCATGACGGATGGTCTGTCGCGGCATGTGTAGTATTCGCACAAATACAAGAAATCTTTATATAAAGTGTGTGTGTGTGTACTTATGTACACGCGTTAGAAGTTATACTTCTTTGGCGTAACAAGATAAAAATCTTTTCAAAAATTTTATTTTTCGCCTTATTCTAAGTTTGTAGAAAAAAACGACACAGACAACAGAAAAAAGGTATTTAATACATTGAAAGTTACTAAAACCCATTAGTTAAATAAAGTTTATTTAAACATCACAAAATAAATATCGTGAATACAGTTGTCAGTTCTCACGCAAACTGATGTCTAGCTAACTTCAGGGTGTCGGTTTTTCGTGACGGTGTGCGCGCACATCGTAAAAATTTACTTTCATTATTTTTCCCTAACGCGCCAAAAGAAGTATAACTTCAATAAATACATCTTGGCCGCTCTCAATTGCGCAACCTCAATTAATGCTTCGTTCTTAGCGTATGAAATGTTTCATTCAGTTTAATTTGTAATATTTGTAGCAGTAGTTAGTAGAATATCACTGTTGCGTTCATAAATCATAAAAGTGCATCATGCAATCATACGTAGATCCGTGCATGTGCATTAATCTGTAATCAAAAATCCCCTTTAAAATTTCCCTAAATAAAGCTGTTTATTTTACGTGGCATTTTGCAGCAATAACAACTATTATAATAAATTCTTTTCCTCATTGGCCGGCTTTTGGTCCGCCAAAGTGCCTCCGCGTGTTCATAACGATGTATATAGACTTAGGCGAATAGATAGTTGCCAAAAAACGACTTTTTAAGATATGGCTTTCAAGGTTTTATTTTGTAAATATGTTGGTTGTAAAAATTAGTAAAAAATCGTATCTTTCCACACCTAATGCTCCCCACTGCAGGCATTCTAGCTTAAGTAGGACACAGGCTATGACAGTTCTGCTGAAATTATTTATGTAAAGGTCTGCTCTGGAGTACGATATGAGGTGACGTAATACGTCAGTTAAGCGGCTTGTTTCCAGATGTGTGTTGAAGTTGCCGCCATATTTATATATAAGTTTTTTAAAAAACATGTGAACAATATCCTGATAAAACAATGCCGTTTACTATTTCATTAATGTTTTGACATTGCTCCCTAAATTTTACGTTTTATTCGAGTTCACTTTAAACTGATACTGTATCAATATACTTTCGAAGTGATAAAAGCATGGAAGCAATTCAACAGGTTACAAAAAATACTAAACCAAGAGAATTTAGCTATGGTGGTTCTGTGACGAGACTAGCATGAGAATATTGTGATTTCATTCCGCTTGTGGGTCGATTTGTAATAAATGTAATAGTATAATCACGCATATATACAGAGTACACGTGTAAGAAGGGAAATTTCATGGGTTATTTATATGGTTACATCAATAATAAAGATGTCAGAAAATAAAAATCATATTAGAATTTCAAAATATTTCTTACTACCAAATGTTTTGGTATCTTAAATCTTGAAATACAAAATATGTGTAATTTAATTTATACAACTGTTTAACGCATGCTTCGGCATGCGAATTATACTCGTAACCGTGCAAAATTTTCGCACATTACCGTGAGCAATCACTGAATAGTAATATGTTAATAAGTTTTTGTCGTTTAAACGTTCCTTACTATGAAGATAACGTTATTCCGGTTAAAAAGTTTTTAAAAGGTGGCGTATCGACATAAAACGCCTTTCAGAAATAGTATTCAGAAGTATAAAACTTTTATTCAACAATAATAATTTATCGCTTTCTATATAGCTGGATTCTTAAATCTAGCCGTCTCATAAACTCTTAGATATCCTATTTCATGAAGTTAGTGATATGGACTTGAAGGTTTTTCATAACTATTTCTCAAGGCGCAGGTTTGAAATTTTAATCTCATGCGATCAAAGTAGCTTCTCGTACATCTCAACGCCTGTACCATTAGAGTAGCAATACCTCCTCAGTCTTTCGCCATCTCTTCAAACTGCCACTTGCCCCTACACTTTGCCGCATTCAAGTCTGCGTATTTAATTTTTTTACCCTGTCATATGCATAGTTATTAACTCGTCCGTTTTAATAGTGATTCTTATGTATTCGTGATTTGTTTGCAATATTTTGTTTAATGTGATATATATTTTTTTCAAATAAACTGGGTAAGTCCATTGGAAACTGTGTGATGTTTTCTGATTATTAATATGTGTAGGCCTTGTAGGCTGTGTAGCCTTCTCGAGTGTTGGGACTCAAAATGTATTTTATTCTTCCGTTCTGCTTTGTATCTGTTACTTTATAAAGTAAAGGTTTGCAGCAGCACTGGTAGAGATCACTCAGATCTATTTGCACCCAGAGAATCAATAGCTTTTCTGTGAACATTTAAGTGAATAAAATCAAGCGAATTATGAAGCGAATAAATAAATCAATGATCATTAAAGTCAATTAAAATTTTATTTATTGGTTTAATTTCGTCTTTGATATATTAAGAGAATGGTTATGACGAACGATAATAGAACGGGACAGTCATCACAACGTGTCATTGATTTTTCTTTTATTCTTTAGAAAAAGTTTACAATTTGAGACGTTCTTTTTCTACAGTCTTTGTTTAACATCTTGGTAGATTATTAGTCACTACAGTAGGGTCTAAGCAATAGTTGGAAGTCCAGTACTAACCACTTGTTGCATGTGCATTATTAAAACGCTTTCCTTACGAGTTGGAAAAGACCTACTTTCGTGTCATTCTCACTATTAAATTACAATTCGAGTTTTCTATATTATTCAGAGTAAATGGGTTTTGTAATCGTACAACACCTTTTGTGACGCCAATGCCATTAAATTCAAATTAATTATATTACTACCAGTTGAAACAGTTGAAGTGTATTCTACATTATATTGCCTTAAATATGTAAAAAATATTGAATAACAAAAGAATAATGTCATTAATACGAATTTTCGTACACCTCGATTCGCAGTTTTTGAACTCTCAAGACGACGCAGTTGTATCCTCTCATGTATAAAAATGTATAAATGTAAAAAAATCATGTATAAAAAAAAACTTTTTGCGGTTTCTTGGCGGTCGTGAATGTTACACAGAGATAAGTTTATTTTATCGCCCTGGTATGCCCAAATCATGCTTAAGTTACGTGCTACCAATTTGATACACCACAATTAAAATATTAAAGTGAGGCACGCCAACACCGTAAAACTACGTGATTCTGAAAAAAGCAATTAATCGTAAAGCTAACAGTAAGCCCAGAGACACCTCTTCCGCCCCTCCGTTAGTCCGCCACTGCTGCTCTTCATAATCTCAGTTAATCTTGTAATAAGGTTCTTTTTCAATTATTATTTTTACTTTTGGATAGTATGGATAATACTATCCAAAAGTATCGAACACAAAAAAAATGGTTGATTTTGTCAATGTCAAAATCTATGTTAAATAATTTAATTCAATGAACCATTTTTTTTAGTTCATTTAGTTTTTTTGATTCCTAACCATTTTAAGTTTTATTTTTAACTCGTATGCGCAACATATCCAATAGTTTTACATATTTATTTTTTGCAGTTACAATGGAGCGCTGATGATGATATCAGCATTTGGCTTACTCCTGCTGGTGGCGGTGACGGTGGATTCGTCATCGACACCAGCTGCGAATCTGCAACCTATGACAGCGAATTCTCGGGCCCAATACGTGTTCGAAAACCCTGTATCTGTTACAACTGAGGGTGAGCTAAGAGAATGGAGTCCGCACCCAGCGGAAACGAAGACTGCAATGGCTGATCACGAGAATAACGTAAGAAGTGAGCGAGTGACGGATGTTCCTATTGAGATATCAACGCTTGCTAATTACGAAGATGCGGATTCAGCGCCTGGCTCTCACTGCCCCAAGGGATGCGACTGCATAGAGCTCACCGACGGCACGAGCTACAATTGTTCCCTGCCCAGCGGTGTGGTCGCCTTCGACGAGTTCGGTGACGGAATTATTTTCAAGTGCTTAGTAAGATACTAGTTTTCATTTATAGATGTGTAGACTATAAACTTCTTAAATAACAGTAAATGAAATTAGTCCCACACGGAACGATGATGTTGTGATATTTTTTTATATGAAAATGGTGCAACATAGGGTCACATTTCAAACGAAACGTAAAGGTATGACTTCTATATCACACCGGCCTTATGTGAAGCCGAGGTATTAAGTGTACTTCCCCATACGAGCCTGTCCATTCCGCAAAAGAAATGTAAGCAATTTAGATGCCGAGAAATCCAGTGAACTTTTCATACAAATTTTGGAACATTTCATTCATATTTATTTTTTTTTAATTCATGCGCTACATCTACAGTTTAAAATGCAGTGTACAATTCATTAGTGTCGTCACAGGAATTTAAATTGAACCATACTGAACTAAGTGACCTGGACACTAAGCAGTCACGTCTATCACCTAGAATGCCATAAGCATCCTTGGAAAGAGGAATTTTCTTTGTTTGTCTGCGATTAAAAAATAAAAGTTGTTCGGACTTGTCCCTGTCGCTGAATTTCACACTTAAGCGTTAGATCTGTAAGGAATCAGTTTTCGCCAGTTGCGGCCACTCGCTGTCATGAAAACGCTAATCGTCCGCAGAGCGGCACGCTGCGGTGCTCGGAGGTGCCCTCTGGCGGGGGCAGCGCCGGCGCGTTCGCCGCCAACGCGACGGTGCGCAGCGTGTCGCTGCAGGGGTGCGCGCTGCCAGAGGAGCCGGTGCTGTGCGCGCTGCGGCGGCGCGGCGCCACCTCCGCCCAGAGGCTCACCCTCAAGCGGCCGCTGACGCCGCTCAGCGCCGAGCACGTGCGTGGCCTAGGCGCCCTCACCATGCTCCGCATCACGGACCTCGGTTGAACATTGCTCAATATCTTAGATCGTATAGACGTCTAGATGCCGTGTCACCAAGTGGCAGATGCTATGTGTATGACACTGATTCACCAATTTTTGCATGAATTGCAAAGATTGGTTTTATATAGACTCAGTAGCACAGTTACTAAGCTTGGCTTAGCAGCGCTGCAGATCGTGGGAAAAAGAATTCTATTAGAATTCTATTAGATTTAAATAGTATAAGTAGTTAGATATAAGAGTTATTTGAAAACATGTTATGTACTAACTGCTACCCGCGACTACGTCTGTTTACTCGTAGAATAGGCTGAAGGTGTAACATTCAGACAGAAAGAGAGGTAACCGGATCCCACTTTACGTAATGGTAGCAACGGATCTGCAACCATACTGTTGTTGCAAATATCCAGATTTTAAGTGGTTAGCGGAAATTACTTAAAATCTGGTGAAACGAAAGCTCACTTACCACCTTCTCACATTAAAAAAGCCACACCTAGGCAGAATCTCCGCGTCAATGAATTGCCCTTGTAGGGAATTAACATTAAGAAACTGAAAATGGAATCCGCCATTGCACAATATTGATGAAGTAAGGTTTCTTACAAGCATTAGAGGAACACAAACTGGGAGTGAAATAAAAAAAGAATTAAGTTTTTGATTACTATTCCTAATGACTAACCAAATTGCAAATCAAATTCAAGAACATCGTAAACTTGTGAAATGTAGCTATAGCGCATTTTAGGAATTTAACAACGCCATCTAGTTTTGGCGCAACATTATATATTTTTATTATTATATATTTTTTATCCGTAACTTACCGAAGATGGGTTTTAATTCTAATATTATAGTACTTTTATCGCCGTTGGCACTTTTTGTACGGATGTTTATTTTTCTGTATTACGAATCCAGCAATTTTTAACGTATATCTTCTGTTTGAAAGAACCAATTGCAACGAAACAAAGTTTGAATGTTGCACGGAATTAGTAATCTTTATATACTTTCAAAAACACCGGAAAAATTGATCCAGTAATTGATTGGGTGATAACACAGTTTGCAGCTGCACTGTTTAAATATTAGTACTAGTATCTTTCGTTTAAGTAAACCGATTGAGATGAAAGAAGGATTTTATGTTACCCCAGCGAAGCTTAAGTAACCAGTGAAACTTACATCAAGATCTGATAATATTTGAAGTTATAAGCGAACAAATATACAGAAAACAATATCTAAAATGGCTTTTCTTGAGTCCTATAACTCCTTTTGTGATACCCTATTTCATTTTTTTAAATAAATGTATTCAATGTACAGACGCACGGACTCTATTTCTTTATTATATATAATATTTCTCTTTTATTATAGTATAGATACAGATAAGAATCAATTAATTTGTTACTATTAAATATGCATTAGATTAAATACGCAGAACAATACGCTATATTGTTTTGGATAATTCACACAGTATCTTAAATAGCTTCTCCTTTGTTTCGTGAGTAGCTTCTGCAAGATTTAACTGGGACATTTAATTTTTTATAATATTTGTTTAATATTTACCGCAAGTTTTTCACTATGAACTGATGCAGAATCTTGATGAAAAACCTGGTGTCTGTTATTTATGAGAAAGGAGTTCCATAAGGTTTGTGAAGCAGTTTATGATACACAATCTCCTTTATTCTCTTCCTTTTCGCCTTTTCCAAGAACGTACCCACGCAAGGTCATAAATCAGCACCTATGTACACGATGGCAAATATAACAAATAAAAAGGACTTACCTTCAAATCGTTTATAGAATAGGGCTATAAACGTCAGTTGCATTCTCAGGAAAAGCTTTGTGGAAATTTCGTATCAGACGCAGCGAGTCTGACTTAGATTGTAAATGAAACAAGTATTCGAAAGGTTTAAAAAGAATATAAACTGCACTATTCGCAGACGGGGAAGAGGCGAGATTACCGTTGGCCGCGATTGCCAGCTTGCCGCTTCTGCAGCATCTGACGCTGGACAACGCTCATCTGATACTGCGGGAAGAGCTCCCGTCGCTGCCACTGCGCGCTCTTGAGCTAGCCGACGACGCGCTGCAAACGCTGCCACACGCCCCCTTCCGCCATCTGCAGCAACTGCGCCGCCTCGGCCTCTGGCACAACCGCTTCGAGCAGTTGCCAGCAGACGCGCTGCAAGGTGCTTCAACTTTCTGACACTAAAGGAGCATTGATGTATTTTTAAATATTCACAGCTTTTTGAATGACTTAATGAATATATCTATTAGCGGACACACTTTCGTGGGTAACAAATAAACTGCACTTTATTTATGCCATGAATTTAATGTCTGTATAAAATTAATGTAAATCTGTTTTATTATTTTGTATCTAAACTTTATAGTGTAAATTATGCTGTGTATGTCCAATCTTTATGTTTCATCGTGAGTAAGATTAACATTATAAAATTAAAATTTCAAATGCAATACCGACATTTCTACCGATATTTGATATTGTTTATGTGCTGTAAAGGACCAGAAATGCACCAAAAATTGCTTAAAATACGAGAAAAAAACGATATAAATAAAATACCTTGAAATTTTCTTCGGCGTCTCGGCGCAAATCCGGAAGATGTAGGTTCGATTCTCGCAACGGCAAAACATTTTGTCCATTTTTTTTACAAATTTAAAAATAATTGCAAAGCAAAGGCGTTGCCACCTTCAAATAAAGTGGGCCCCGGCTACTTCTACTTTACGCAGGTCTTCTGTGAGGTCGTGGTACTTTCCCGGACGGACCTGCCCATTGGCGCATAGTGGTCTAATGTGGGATAAGGCCAGGAGAAAGAAAAAGAAGAAGTGTTGCAAGTGCCGTTAACCCTCAAGGTTACTTCACTCACACCTCCGTGGCGCGGTTTACTTCCCCGGTCGAGCTTATCCTGCAGCAATTCGGCCGTGAGCTCGTACGAACTGCAGTTTTGCTCTACTAGAGTAAAATATGTGTTTCAGGTTTGGGTTCACTGCAGGAGCTGAGTTTCAGCTCCAATCGGCTGGCAACCCTGCCAGGTACTTTGCTGGCTTCCACACCACAGCTGCGCAACCTGGACCTTTACGATAACGAGCTGCGCTTCCTGCCACGCTCTCTCTTCGCCGGACTTGCGTTTTTGGAACAGGTTGGCCGCTGCTTCATATTGGAAACATCAATTTTCACAGCACTGGTATACGTGCAATTGCATATATTAGAATTCGTTTTCTCTTAATGTGAAATTTGTCTATACGAATAGAGGGCAATACCTACTTAACTTAACTTCAATGTACATTTAAATTTTATATCAGTGAAAGTTATGTGGTGGGTGAATAGTAAAATGTTTGCTAATTTTGGTACTTACTAGGTGCGGCTGAACGACAACCGGGGCGAACTGACGCTGGAGGAGGGCACATTCTCCGGTCTCACTTCTCTGACGGAGCTTGAGTTGTCGCGCAGCGGTTTGCGCTCGCTGCCAGCGGACACATTTAGAGGCTGCAGCGTTTTAAAGCGGCTGCTGCTAAGCGGCAACTCGCTCGCATCCCTGCCTGATAAGCTGCTGCGTGGGCTGCCCGCCCTCGCGCACCTCGATCTCAGCAGGAACGAGTTGAGCGCCATCCCGCCGTCCCTATTCGCTGACCAGCAGAATCTTGTGGAGCTCTACCTCGATCATAATAGTTTCGAGACATTAACAAGGTGCTTCAATTTTTCTTTTTAACCCTCTTCACGTTTTAAAAACAAAATATACTGTGATCGCTTTGCACTCACACTATTATAAGCTGCATCTTACGTCTAATTGACTATAAGACAATGTCCATGGGCTTCGCTGTTTTCTTTAACATTAGATCGTTACCTCGTTGCTTCTTCCTCTAATAAAAAGGCTTACCTAATCAGGATTTCTGTTTTTGCGATAACAAAGGTAAAAAGAAATAGTAAAAGCATTAGTCCTCTACGTTTAACGGACGTGTCAGCAAATTTTCTTTAATTGTCTGACAGCTCGATGTTCCTCGGCCTGAGCAACTTGGAGTTGCTGTCGCTCAGCCATAACAAGTTGCGACTCATCGCCTACGACGCTTTCACCACGTTGCGCTCGCTGCTTCGATTGAATCTGGCCCATAACGAACTCTCATTCGGCGATGATGGTACCGGGGGCGTGAATGGGGCGGATGGGGCGGAGGGGTACTTGCTGCTGGGTGGGCCCCCTTCGCCATTCAATGGAATGACGCTGCTCACAAACCTCGACCTCAGCCACAACCGCGTGCATCAGATGCTCGACGATTGGCGCATCGTGCTTACAGCTCTGAAGCGGCTCAACCTTAGCTGGAACAACTTCTCCCAGTTTGATGTAAGTCCACTGTCCTTTTTTACAAAGAAATTTGAGCACAACTCGAATGAGTGCTTTGAGTTGTGAGAGCCAGTGAACTATCGAAACTAATATTGTAACGCTTCTACAACAAATCGAAAACGAGAAACGATTTAAATAAAAGTAACACCAAATATTAAGTGAAGCTTACTATAATGCATTAGTGAGCAATTTACAGCTCAAAATGTTGTTATTTTTAAATAGGAACGAACTACGAACGGACGAGGAAGGAACTGCGTTTTTATAAATTGGTTTCTTCAATTAATACTAACGAACTCAATCTTACATTACACATAGTGTTGCCACAGAGTACTTTTCAACAATTCAGATGGTAGAGGAGTTGCCCACCTATTGCACATTGCCATATGCTAACAATAATTAAATTATCTGATACATTTTTGTATGCAGCATTTTGACGTCGTAGCACTAAGATATTTTGGTCAAAAGTTGTTTTCTCCTTTCAGTACGTAAGCATGAGCTTCTTGGGTTCCAACGTGGTAGTGGATCTGCGGAACAACAACATATCGACGGTAGACTTGCAGGGCGACAGCAATGGCAGCGCTGTGATCCTTCTCGATGGCAACCCGTTCGCGTGCGACTGCCACGCGCCAGCGCTGCAGGAGGCGCTGGCGGCGGGCGTGGCGCCCCCCGCGCCCGCCCCCCTCCCGCCGCGGCCGCGCCTCGTGGCGCCGAGTGCGACCTGCGCCGAACCGCCCCACCTGCGCGGCCTCTCCCTACTAGAAGCGCCACGAAGCCAGCTGCGGTGCAGCTTGCCATCGCCGCAGTGCCCTTCTGATTGCAGCTGCTTCCTGTTGCCTGACCATCTTGCCCTGGACTGTGATACTCTTCCTCCACGTCTGCCCTCGCCCATTGACCACCAACTCACCATCACCCATTTGCGGCTGCATAACGTCACCGGCTCGCTCCCTTCTCTGCCAGCTCATGTGCGTAGACTAGATCTCAGCAAACTTAATATCACCCAGTGCCCCAGTTGCCACCGAACATCGAGGTCGACCTTGCCAGCAATTATCTGACCAAAATACCTCATGAGGCACTCACAAACAATAATACTCTTTGGTTGGCACGGAACCCACTAGAGTGCGACTGCGACCATAAGTGGGACGTGGCGGCGTTGCAGCGCGCGGGCTCAACGATCATTTTGGACTATAAAAATCTAACTTGTTCGGATTTAAAGACATTGCGAAGTACACTGACGGAGAGTCTTTGCGTCACTCGCGACAACATTATCTACGGGTCTGTTACGGTCGTTATGGTCTTCTTCATTGTCGTTGTGAT